AGCCTGCCTATTTGCCTGACGCGCTGTCAATTTTACGCAATAATGCGAGAGGTGGAATTGTTTGCTTGTTTATTAAAGTGCTTTGAGAGTTTACAGAGTAATGTCATCGGCTCCTGATTCAGACTCTTACAACGTCACAGGCTCTAATATAACGAAGCGAAACATGTTGTGCAGCGGTCAACAAAAACTACGGCTACCCAGCCCTCCTCTCTGTCAAAATCATAACCAGTGAATGACAGACTGACAACGCCCATTTATGTCACCCACGTGACTCCCATAACAACCAAACAAATAAAAACCCAGTGATCATCAAAATTCAATACATTCAATTATGGCTCCTACAATCATGACCTATTTATTTATTTCATTTTGAACACTTTGGAGTTCCATAGTAATTAAGTCATTAAGTGTGATTGGAGAAAAGGAAGTAAATGACCCAAGACAACAAGGGGTATCTTCATAAGGGGTGGCACTTGAGGAAATTTTGGATCTCAAGTCCATAACCTTATTTACAAAATGATTGAGGAAAGTATTGCAATCTTCATCAGAAAGTCACACAGCATGCTGAGTTGGAGGTGAAACAATATTGTTTATGGTATCAAATAGAGCTCTTGAATTACTTTTATGATGATTTATAAGATTATTTAAATAAGAGGATCTAGCCTCTTTGACTGATTCATTATATAAGTAAAGAAGTAATATGTGGTTTGAATGCAAGCAGGTTTGCCTACAGCTAATTAAAGGCAGATCCAGCCCATAATACTGCAGCATGCAGTTTGTGATTTATAGGCTTTCTGCTGTTGAGTTGCAGTTTGATCATCTGATCTCATGGAACAAATGGAACAGGTGCAAACAGCTGTAAACAGCTGTTCTGCAGCTAACAAAATTAATTTAACATTTTCCAATCTACACACGTTCAAATACTCATTGAGTCTGTGTAGCAAATCAATGAACTCTACAGGCAGGTCACTAAAGGCGCAAAGCAGCAACAACCTTGACAAAATGAAAACTATGAAAATCACTTTTTGTTGCATTACAGAGTTCCTGGCTGCCGTTTTACAGATTATTAATTAGAACTTTTTTTCTTAATTTGAATTTCACAGCTCATATGTGTTGAATAAGAGCACTCAGGATGTAATGAGAAAATATATTTAGTTCAGGCTGAGTCATAGCAAACCTTTCCTCATCAGGTTTAACTGTTAATTGAACGTCTTCAGCTCTGGGACTGACCAGAACGGACAGATTAGAAAGAGTTTTTCAGAGGGACGGGTTCACTAAAGCTCAGGTGTTTGGACATGTACAGGCTTGTATTTTTGACAAAGGATGTTGAAGCTGGCAGGGAGGATGAAAAGAGGACCTGAAGGAAGATTCATGGATCTACTTAAGGAGGACATGCAGAAGGCTGCTGTGTTGGGGAGGATGTTAGGAACAGAGTGATGTGGAGACAGATGATTCGCTGTGGAGACGATAGCAGCCGAAAATTGTGCAAGAAGTGGTCTTGACCATCTGTTGCAGACACCGACAGATGAAGTCCGCTCCTGGGGTGCAGTTCTCTGTGGGTGAGTCCACATGGTCAAAAAATCACAGGCAGGCATCCTCGTGGTCGCTGTGCGATGACAAAACACTAGTGATGTGCGGATCAATCCTGAAATATCGATTCCTCCGATACCAATCATTTATGTTCTAGAATCGATTCTCACATTAAAATATCGATATTTTAGTAATTTAGGGTAAATTTGTAGTTTATCATTAACAGGAACACAGTGCAAAGAAACTATAACATTCGGAATGTCTACATTCAAAGGAACTACTTCCTCTTCCGCCTTTCATAGTCATGTGCGAAATACGGCTATATAAATGTCTCGCAGCCCCTTCGCAACAATGGCTGAGCGTAATTGTGTGAACGTATTTTACCTCCACAAACAGCTGAGACGTGGTTTGCAATACATGTGGCAAAAAAGTGAGGTGTTGTGGCCATACATGCCAACCTTGAGACTTCAGAATTAGGGAGACATTCAAAAGGGCTGTTGGGGGGGGGT